ATCATTGATTAGTCAGTCACATTTGGAAGAAACTATGTATGCACTATGTTTCCAAAAAAATAATTTATACAAAATAAATCTCATCATTCTGTTTCTTCTTTTCATTTCAATCTGTTTTTCTTACCACATAACTTTTCTATCTTTCCAATCTAGTTGATATGATCGTTTAGAATTTGATTATTAGACAACAGTGAATACAGTTTAGAAATGAAAGATATTTTCATCATATAGACAGACTTGTCGATCAGATTATCAGCACAAACTTACTTTCAAAATATGTTGTGTGTTATGATGAGATGAAAAAATTACATCTAGAACTGAGAGAAAAACTATCTTATCCTTGAAATTTCGTATTTTTGCACATTAATTGATGGTGATTCACTTGTCTGTGTGTGTGTGCGTGTGTGTCCGCATAAACCTGTGTAAAAATGCATTCTATTCTACTAATTTTTTTCTGATATCGAACCCTGGATCAATGAATCATTAACAACTGTTTTAATAAATAGTTCAAAAATAATTTGTCAATGTCTATATAGACAGAATTGTTTAGCTGGGTATCTATCTATACCCTTCCTTTATTTGTTGTTGTACATCACATCAGATAGTAGTTATATGTGTGTGTAAGTATTGGAAGGGGTGTTCATTTCTATTTTTTGCATAACTTTGAAACTGTGTTTTTATTGCTGTTTTTATTTATGATACAATAATTGGTTGTTTCCAAAGTTATTTTTCCCATTTTCTCTATGTCTTGTTTTTCGGATACATTGTAGTCATTTAAGGAAATTGAAATTTGTATACGGTTTACCGTCTTCAGCTGTAAACGTTAACAGTTATAAGTAGAATAAGGGAATCTGTGATCTTATTGATGTGGATACAAGTGAATAGTTCATCAGAGAAAAATATTGCAGGTTACTAGAAACAAGGAAATCATCAGTCATAAAACTGCATTATCGTTGTCAAGAATTTTTAATGTTATTTATGTCAGCTTTTTTTATTCCTGTAATCAAATCAAAAAATATCAGTTTGATTATCGCTGTTGATTAAGGGTCCAACAGATGATGGTTGCTATGTTTTCAACGAAATTTCATCACCACAATGTTTTTGTTAAATTATCGTCAGATTGATTTAAATGCTTTCATGTTGTCTATCAATTAATTGTTGGGTGTTTGCAATGAATAAATTTTTTTTCCCGTGAGTGCTGGAACTATCAATCAATAAATTGGATTATCTAACCTCCGAATAGCTTAAATAGCTATACATAAACCGCTAGATTAATTTCGACCTACTGTTTGACGAGAGATTGTTAAGATAATTGAAATAGCTGGGGTATATCAAGTGAATTTGTTCGTGTCACGAATGAGTCTGTCTGCATATAAACGTTTAATGATTTAAATAGGCTCGATATTGTCAATAAATACTGGTTCTGATAGTCAATATCTACTTGAATAGTATGTAAATGTGTTTTTTTTGCGCTCAACGAGTTTGAAATTTAACAATCACTGTCGCTATTGATTGCTTCCAGTTTAATAACAACTGCTTATTCTAAATTATATACTTCAATAGATTATATTCTGAGGATTGAAGCAGCGTGAGATGCATTTATATATCAGGAGTGATGCCAAAACTCTGAATTATGGGTAGATCCAGTCAGTATTATGTGAATCAGTTGAAACTTCCTAGATTCCTCTGAGAAGCAAGACGGAAAAGTATTAAGATCTAATTAAATAAAATTACTAACTTATGTACATAGTCTCTGTGAATAATAATATCTCATATGTATAGTTCAGTAAATGAATAAAGTTCAAAATTTCCTAGTATTTTTATGAAAGCTGTGATACATAATAACCCAGCGTACAGCCAACAAGTAAAAAAAATATTTATATTTCCACTAATCGATTGCATTTATCAAAGGAAAAAAAATAAGTAATGTCAATTTGAATATATCTGCGTTAATGACCTTAAACAAACAACTGCACTAGAACCTATATGAAGTGTTTTATTGTTGTTATTAAAAATTCATGATATTTATACTATGATGTATAATGGCTGACAGATTCAAGTAAATCATAGTATTAATAACAATAATAATAATAATAATACTTGTTTTTACTATTAAACTATTTGTGTTTGTATGTTTGACATGAGCCATGTGTTTTTTGTTGATTGTTGTTACATTCCGAATTGACCAGCATACACTTTTTAACAAACTAAACTAACAGCAAGTTATGGTCATACTGATGATTAACCATATCAGACTTATATTTATGTTTTGATTAGTTGCTTTCGTTGATGTAATAATTAATTGGTCATGACCTATTTAAAGTTAATCATAATGACTAAACATGTGGTTGTTTATATATATTCTGATAAATTTTATCTATAGTAATAATTCTCACATTATTTGAAGGAATGATGATTTCATTTTTCTAACCATTAATAAATAATATGTGGTTTATTCATCTTTTGAGATAAATACTTGTCTTGATCAAAAAAAATTTTTATAGCTCTACAACTAATAAATAGAGGCATCGATTCATTACTTAAAAATATACCAGCGATTCAAACGCGAAAATTGTCGTTTCTTCTAAATTGAAATGATTGATTATATGACTATAACCCGAAAAAAAAAACTTATCACAGATGTGCGTTTATCCAATTTTATTTGTACAATTCACATCAGGACAGTGATAAGAGATTAGAAAAATTTACAGAGTGATAATATCAACATTAATTAAAAACTAAAGAAAGTTATTCTAAATGAATAAGTTGAATGCATTAAATGGTACCAAACTGAAGAAGACGATACAGAATACATAATTACATACATTCACCACTGTATTACAAACAACTTTAAGCTATATAGTCTATTATTCGACAATAGATCATGCTTATTTTTTGTACTTAATTCGGAAGTTTGCACACCTTTCATACATTTCATACTGATTGTTATTGACTTCACAAAATGATACTATCTTGATCTGACTGGGGTTTTAGTTGTCATCCAATATGCTCCTACTCTAGACATTATGGTGAACTATGGTAAGCGATGGCTTTGTACGTACATACAACAAATATCTAAGTCATCGAAATGGTAGGACACTGTAAACTTCACAACCCGATTTTTACTTTACGCCTCACCAAATTATTAGTCACAAAACTCCATCATATGCGATGATATTGAAAAATTTGTTTGCAAGATACTGGCGAATTATTCGTTTCTTTTACACAAATGATCATTACTTGCGGAATTGAAGTGATACAAAGTGAAATGTCCCACAATATACTCTAATCCTAATAGACATTCCCCCCTCCTATACATGACTTACAAATTGATATCAATTAAAATACGTTTAGTACACTTTCAGCTATCTTTCCAGTCAATAAACTGCAAGAGTAGATCAAATGTATGTAAAATAGTCAATATAATTATTTTTGTCATCGTCATCAGAGTAAGCACCACTGTAGACCATTTATAAAGCGTCACCTTGTATTTCTTTCAGTTGAATTAAAGATTGTATCCCAGACATCCCTTGGATTTATTCAAAGTATACCTTTTTAAATAGAGTATGCTGACACTTGAAATACTCACTTCCCTTCTTTTCATCTTCGTACAGCCCTCTTTTATTCCATTATGAAAAAACTCCCCTAAAAATGCCGTTTTTGATCATATTTAATCGCCTTCAATTATTCAGGACATTTTAAAACATTCTTCAGTCAAAGCATCAATGTTATGGCAGTATAGCTTCAGGCGAGCATCTTCATCCACGCGACACCCGGACGTTCAGCATACAGTTGTGATGCCTTTGTCACATTTTTAGGAATTTTTGGAGGAGGATCAGCCAGTTGTATCTTACTAACCCATGTTGTCGCTAAGTAGTTTACTACTCATCCTCTTACTTAAATTCATCCACCAACTTACTTATTATATGCAGCATAAACTCACTATCTGGCTTCACAACTGCATTAGGTCAAAGTTGGTTTGAATTCATTTTAACTGAATTACCATATGCAGCAAAGTTTACATCTCTCTGATATTATATGATAAATTGTTTAAGATTCTTAAATTACGCTCTGAAATCGATCATGTTTAAAATTATTCACATACATTAATTTCAAATAAAATATTTTGGATAAATATATTTTCATCTCCACGGTACTTTTCAATTTATTTCAATACTTCAAAACATTTCTGTCTCCCTCTTTTATTTGTAAATAGTTGGGACTTTAGCTGATCAGTTACGTCTAGCTAATGAGTCCCACAAACGATGAAACGCTCGTACTGAATTCCACTGCTAACCACCATGTATCATCATTCTCTGCTTATAATGTCAACTATAGTTTATATAAAATAATGCCGAATTCTACTTGACTCAGCTTATTCGTCAATTTACAACTTGTTTTTTTCACAGTTATTACTTAGGATTTGTTAATTATTCAATGAATATACGCATAATTATTCATTAATGGTTGTCCCGTGATGCGATATTATTTTTGCGGTGTATTCAACTAAAATCTTGTCGATTGACATCGATTTTTGAAATGTGAATTCCACTCCACTGGTTATATTGCAACACCTAGATCAAGGCAATTGTTTCATATTTAAAGGAATCACTATGAATTATCATTCAAATAATTAAATACAGATGGGGAGTAGTAAACATCATTAGAAACACTTTCCTTAGATAGTTTGTTGATTTAGTTTGGCAAACAGGTGCAAGTCAATACATTTTTTATCATACATTTCTCTCCTAAAAAATCAATACATATACAAAATTAGTAGTTCTTTTTGGTTTCAATACTATGGAATAAGAATAAAAAATTTTTTTTCAGTTAAGCCGACTATCATCCTTTCAAATTTTTTTAGCTAAATGATTGCTGTCTTTTTAGTTTTATTTTTTCACAAAATTTGATTTCATATCTGTTGTAAATTAGTTTTTAGAGTTTTGTTAAACGGATTTAAACTGATGATCTTTCCATTCAACTGTTTATACTTTTAATAGGAACGTGATGCAGTCGTGGAAACACGTGGTCCAGCTGTTACAGGTGGCGCATTCGATACATCTGATACACCATTCAGTTTCCATGCTGGTGAAGGATTTGAAGAAGGTCGCTTTGATAACGAATGGGTTGTTAATCGTCATAGAGAGTCATGGAATGAAGTAAGTGGAAATATGAAACGTTAAAAAAGACTATTACTTTTTCTCAAAGGATATTCATCTGTTAGTCATGCGCAACATAAAGCCTGATACATATGCGTCGCTTCAGGTTGCTAGACGAGATTAAGTATAAATAGTAACAGTATCAGCAATGATAAAAAAGTTCAGACATGAAAGAGTCCGTGTAGTTGAAAATCTTTTTAAGTCGTCAAGAAGTTTAAAAGCAAAGGTAATGCATCTGTATTATTACGAACGATTCTGAGCCATGTTACCAGGATTCCCTGATCCACTAATAACGTTTATCGCGCTCTTTTGAACCAGGTAGTCTGCACAGCTCATTTCAACAGTCAATGACTCCCTGGACTGATACCACATTTTGGTTTGGTCTCCTAGGTCGAGTTAGGTATTGGTAGGGAATACGTAATAGATGTTCTAACCACCTCAGCTAATGAAGACCCACTACTTCACTAACAGATTTGCCACTTTTAGCATGTACTCTACGTCTAACCTCAACATTGCTCATTCGATGGTTCCGAAATACGCTAACAATACTTCGAATGAATATATGGTTCCTAAAAATATCCTTCACGCTTCACATCTATAAATTAGGATGAGGCGGACTTCTGAGCAGTTGACCCACCATTTGGTTAATAGATAGATATCTTGCTTCTTGGCAAAGCCAAGCTACCGAATACAGCGGGACTGATCAGAGTTCAAGGATAAGTGAACTAGTCGACGTGTCCAACTATCTCATCCTCACTAGAAGAGTGTATTTTTTTTTACTTTATTTACTCTTACGTTTATTTTCAGATTATGTTTATTATAACAGATAAGAAAAGCAACGTCGGAGTTAATACAATGTATATCAGTCAAAACTGTTAAAGCTTACATCAACTTTCCTAAAGCCAAAGTGAAAAAAAAATAAAACATACTCCAATGAATAAAAAATTATCTCACCGCAGATGCCGTTTCGGTGTTGTCGTTGGACTTGCTTGCATATTGTAACAACCTGATCAGGCTAGATTGACTAATATATATCACTTCAAATCCTACCATTTAAGAGACAGGTTGGTTTGAGAATGATAAGACCAAAAGCACCAAGCTCGTGGTTTGATGGTGAAATTGTATTTCCAACTGTATACAGATGCGATAGCAGGGAGCTTGTAACTTAATCGTTTCAATATTTAGTTGTTAATCACGTAATTCTAGGTTCAAACGTCTCTCTTCCCACTACCATCTTAGCGGGAGAGTAATATGTACCATACCTTACATGCTTAAACGATTACACAGTTGTTTAGTTCGAGGCATAACATATTTTTACTTGTTTATTGACTTTCAAATCTTCTTACGTATGCTAAAAACTAGCAATTATAAAGTTTTGATCAAAATTATCGCATAATCGAATTGCATATAATTTTAGTGTTTGTTGTCATATCGAAAACTATCCAAAATAAATAGTTCAATATTTCTGCTGTTGTTGTTGTTGTTGTACTTACACTGACAAGTTAATCAAAATAAAGCTGACTACATATATCTGTTGATGATTATTACAGATTAATAATTGTTGTTTCATTAATAATAATAATAATAATAATAATAATAATAATAATATGATCTAGATTCGACTTAAGTCAATCATACATTGTCCTAATATTGTATGTTGGCTTTTCTATTAAAATTTAAAAAAAAGTTTTTGACAACGAAACGATTACTTATGATTACTCGTTTATATTCTATTTGATTTTAAAATTATTTTATCAGTTGGCATGTATTCAGTTCCTATCTCTATTCTCTCTACCTTTTAAAAATAATGACAATAAATAAAAGTGCAGATAAAAAGTTGTTTATACTCTTAAAAGAACTAATTTTATCCAAAAGAAAACATCAAATCTTTATAAAAAGGAGAAAAATTTGACGTGTAATTTATCATTGAAATGAATTTGACAATTATGCTAACTGAATACTCTATGTGACATGTGTAATTTTGTTTTATAATTGTATGATTAAACAGTGTGATTGAAACACTATACTATACTACTATACTATCGAACACTGTATCATATATACTTATGTGAAGATTGTTTCTTAAGGATTGTTATCAATAGTTATTAGTACAAAAAAAACATATATGTATGAATCCGCCTCAGTGATACTAGTTTGTGTATTATTGTCAGTTATACATTTCTCATACTGATTGAACACCACCCATAGATAGTATGTATACTAGGACAAAACTACTCTTGAATTCTCTGCCTGGTTGCTGATAGTTTTATAAAGCCATTTTACCATGTAAATAATCATTAGAAAATGTAATAATAACTGTATTGTACAAGCATGAAAGTTACAAAAATGCAACAAATGTATGCATTTAGTTTTGTTATTCTAGTTATCAGAATATTCAAGTTTATAATAATATGACGTATATAAAAAATCTATTCTATTTACTGACTAATAGTTTTAAACACACCAATTTTGATCAATTTAAAGTGTATTGTTGTGATTGTTACGTGATCCTGTGACACTTGGCAAAATTTAATCGTAACACATGTCTAGTTTCAATGAATTATCTTTTGTTTTTGTCATTTGCAGATAATTTTCATCTAATTTTTTTTTTATGTGTTCTTTGTTCAAAAGGATTTTAACAAGCTAAATCCTGTGGATGGTAAAATTAGTGGTGAAGCTGCACGTAGTTATATGCTCAAATCGAATTTGCCTAATAGTACATTGAGAAATATTTGGATATTGGGTGATCTTGATCGTGATGGTTGTTTAGATGCGGATGAATTCGCTTTAGTGTGTTATTTAATTAAACGAAAACTAGAAGGCAATGAATTACCGACTAAACTTCCTGTGCATTTAGTACCACCATCTAAACAAAATTGTGTACAAATGCTTGGCAATGGTTATCATAAAGAATAATGTGTTTGTATCAGAAAGTTTCTCTTTTTTTGATGTTTATTAGAACAAAGAAGAATGCGAACTCGAAGAGAACAATGGGACAATGAACTACTATCGACCAGCTTGTTTCTTGTTTTGTTTTTTTTTCTTATTTAATCGCTATCTTTACTTATAACATTTGCTGCCCGCTTTGTGTTTTTTAAAAATTGAACAATCTAGTCAGAAATTTTTTTTTAATCGAATCATTAATTTTTACCTTTTAAAAACATTTGCTTCCGATCTAAGCATCCTATATCTATATATATATCTATATCTTTACAAACATTTTAGGTACCAACCTTATATTATTACAATTACTAACCAGTATGTGTCAGTTCTGTATAAAAATCATAAGAAAGGAGTCATGAACATTTTGTTACACACAACCATAGTTATCATACTCTCTTTTTTTCGTTTTTCATGTGCCTTTCCAGTTGGTTTGCTTTTAATGGATAAGATACTGTTGTCTGTTTTGCAAATTTCATCTATATAACAGACCTATAATATTGTTTGTTTGTTTTTTTTCCTTCAAATTTTTATCAGTATTACAAACAACAAACAGTATACTCTGATATTATCATTGTGTGTTATGCTTATTTGACAATATGTTAATTCATTGTTTTTGTTTTGAAAAAGAGATAGAGAAAATCAATGAAAACATTAGATAATTTTTTATTTGTAAAGTAAAAAAAAACAAAACAATTTATTCACATCGGTTTGGACTATAAAAAACAGTTATACATATTATTACCATTATTACTAGTAATACTTCCCTATTCTCCTTTCTTTTTTTCTACAAATATCCATAATGATACATGGGATTCGTGTGATAAAAGGTGAAAAGTTTGAAATCATAAATTATTAATCTTTATACTATAATAATGTTGGATGTTTGCTTTTTCCGCACTTAGTAATTTTCTATCAACGATTAATCCTGGTGATGATAATGTAATGATTGGATTGTTTTGTTTTTTATTCCAAAGTGAACAGTTGATATTGTGTTTGGTAGATTTGCTATATTGTTGTCATCTCTTACACTAGTTTAATCGTGACTAAAATAATGTGATGAAGAGAACGAAATGATCAATGCCTTGTTTGTTTACGATTGATGAAGCTGTAAACTAAATTGAATTGTATCACGGTCTGTTTTTACTTCAATTACGTGAGTGAAACTTTCTCAACACTTGAAGTCCTGATTTAAACTTTGTTTTTTATCAGTATGATCGAAGGAAACTTATTCTTACTTGTTTGTTTGAACATTTTCATGTTTGTTTAGTATTTATTCAATAAACACTATTCTGTACGAAAAATTTGTTTCCATACAAATGGATCTAGTTTATTTGACAAGTGATTAAATAGGTTTATGTTTATTAGAAAATTCTTTTACATGAGTTTACATTTATATACGACGAATTCATCACAGTTCAGTTCGTATTGTTTCAAAAATAAACGCATTATGAACGAAAATAAACCTAATCATCAATGCTATTTCATATTTATAACTTGTTATACCGATAACATTCTTCAATGAACGTTACGATATTGAATAATTTATTTGCTAACCAATCAAGTCATTCGTTTATGCATGTTGTCACTTTAACTTTTTAAGAACAATTCACAACCACGTAATTTTAAATGCATTTTTCTACTACGAGTTAGACTTTCTTGTTATTTTTACTTTCTTGATGCATGATGAAATATGAGCGTTTTTCCTATGAAAATAATATAAAGTTTCTACTTACTTTTACTAGAATGCTAGCTTCATAGTTAAGTTAACTGACATTCAACTACTGGATTTCTTATCCGCTGGCTAGTAGTATCAGACCAAACTTGTCAATGAACCTTCAGCTCGACTAAGGTTTATTCTTACTTCGATTTGGTCACATAAATGTCCTCCAGATCCCAACCATCAATCACAATACTAGGAAGCCAATGTAGTACTTTATCATCAAACTCACGTGATCATATACATGCACTGCACGTTCATAACACATTGTAAATAATAAACCACAACATGTAAATATAAAGTTTGAATAATACTTATATAATTTATAGCAACACCTAATGTCAAGTCAACAACAACAAAACTTCGTACGTACATCAGTTCGAATCGCCATACCACATTAGCACAGAGATGTTATTGATACTTCAAATCCCATAGCAGTAGAAGTAGTAGCAGTAATCGGAAATTTTATGGTTCGACGATATTATTCAAGAAGTATATTTCAGTGAAATAAATCTAGAAAGACAGAGGTGATGAAGAATTTAGAAGATTAGAATTTCAGTGAGCACAAAGAGTGGATGCACTTGCGCCATTGTAAACGATTTAAAGCCCTGTCGTTCTAGGTCTCTAACCATTGGTGACTTTCGTCTGACGGACCCCGACCAGACAGCCTACATCTACCAACATGACTCAATCCACTTGTCAGTGACTTCATGGATTTCTGCCCTGTTTTGGTTTGGCCGCCCCTAGCTTTCCTACACCACAAAACATAGCTCGAAGAGGCAGTCGGTGGTTAAGCATACGCAACATATATCCTAACCACCTCAACTGGCGAAGTTTCAATACTTCATCTATTGATCTGCCATTCTTACCTAGGACCCGTTTCCTAACGACAGCATTGCTTACTTGGTGGTCCCAGGGTACACGTAATGCTTCGGAGACACCTATGATCGAAAACCAGTAACCTACGAATGACTTCTGCTCTTACCAGCCATGCTTTGCATCCATATAGTAGGACGGAGCGAACTGCTGCGCAGTACACTCGTCCTTTGTTTACTAAACGGATATCTCACGCACGCTATAAGTGACGCGAATTGGCGAAGGCTAATCCAGCCTTCTGTATCCGTGCTGAGATTTCGTCAAACACAGGTCATCAACACTGACGAGACTCTCAAGATAAGTGAAGCGATCAACACCCTCGGCTACTCCACTCCCTATCACTAGTTCAGATGCCGAAGCAACATTTTGCATTTCGAGGGGGAAAACCGCATCCCGAAAATGCTTGCATTGTTGCTTAGGGTTGTCAGAATACCGCATTTTGTCAGCGTCTTCACCAAGTAGGATTATGTAATCAGCATATTCTAAGCCAATAAGCGAGCCACCTGGTAGAAGGTCTACTCGTGAAAAATCGGACGAGGATAATGTTATGTCTAGGAGTATGTCTACAACAAAATTAAACAAGAACGGGAAAGTGGACATCCCTGACGGACACCACTTGACGTGAAGAATTCCGATGACAGCTCGCCATAAGCTCTCACCCGACCAGTAGTTTTAGAGAAGAGAGCTTGTATAAGGTTAATGTACTTCTTTGGTACACCTTTTAATGACAGAATCTCACGATCAACATAGTCAAATGCCGCCTTAGGGTCGATAAATACAACGAATATGGGCATTTGAACGTAACTTTGTTCTTGGCTCTGTCGTAGTGTGAAGATGTGGTCTATAAATCCACGTCCAGGTCGAAAATCAGTCACTCTGACGTAGTGGTCTGGCTGGCCTATCGTGATGACCTAACCGAGCTATATTGGTTGGAACTTTGACCATGTAAGTTCTACCATGCCAGGCAGGTCGATTGGAGAATGTTAGGATATTCATCCAATATCCTAAGAGAATTATTGGTCAAAATTATGGTCGTTTTAACTGTCAACGTCAAATACTTCAATGCTGTCGCTTATTGGTCATCCGGACTGTCAATGTCATTTCAAATGTTACTTCCTATTGGTCGTCTTAACTGTCAATGCCACAGTATTCGATGCGGTTTCTTATTCGACCAAAATGTATAAATACGCATTATCTGTAACATTTTATGAACAGGACCAGGGCTCGGTCCCGGATCCCTAGTCAAGGATCCTGATTCTCTTCTGGATTCGGACCTCGTACTTTCCGGATGCTTGTAGAATACAGGTTCTACTTCATATCACGTCTTCTTATTTTTACTAAATATGGGGGTTGGGATAATCGGATTGAGTAGCATGTCGTGTCGCCGGATCCTCGCTCTCGTTTTTCCTACTAGGTAAACTCGTAATAGTTCAAGTATATCAAGTTGACGTGTTTACGTGCAGGCGTAACAGAGAATGATGAGATTAAAAACAGCCACACAAGGTCTGAGTGCGAAGACGTACTGCCGACTGTAGAGGGGTGTGACAGCAGTAAGGTGTTTCCCTCGGACAACCAGCATCTGCAGCGATGCTGCCTTCTCACAAGGAAGGAAGGGGTCAGGAAAGGTCGACCCTAAAAACGTCATACCTCACGGACTCCGGTCTACGGCGGTAAGGGCTTTTAAACACGAACGGAGCCGACTGTTCAAAAACCCTTCATAAAGCCTGTGCGTGACCGGCCTCAAGCAGTTGTCCCTTGGGCTCTGCGGTCACGCTCTAAGACCAACACTAATCTACCTTCTTTTTCAGGTTCCTCAACCTTCCACGGTGTGGGCAGCCGGGAAGTGACAACCGCCCTCGTAGCCGTACAAGCAGACGAAACCGAATAGATCATAAACAAATCCTTCCTACTGTTACGCTCGTCACTTGGTACGCTTGAAGCTATTACGAGTTCACGTTAGTCGATAAACGCGAACGAGACAATTACCAGCATCCAGGTAGGCTACCCTGAATCCGAAACTGCAAAATAGAAGTCTCGATGAGTGTAGAAATTGTATTCTACAACAAAACCCAGCTCACAATATATATATAGGATAATTGATACTGTATATATATATATATATATATATATATATATATATATATATAGGATAATCGATACTGTAATCGAACTATTCAAATACAAAATTATGGTTAATACAGTTATCGAATAATTCAGACGGAAGTACGATGAATGAATGATGAGATGCTACAATCTCAAGGTCAACTGATCGGTCCATGAAATAAATCCAAAATAAAAATATTTATCAAGCGTTCAGGGGATCTAACATCCCCAATATCTACACCCCTTACATCTATTTCATCTCCATGATTAACTCTACTCACATTGCTTTAACACCTCGTACCGCTAATGAAAACGATTTGAGTTCTCGAAACGTTAATACCGGTTTCCTTAAACCGCGTTCATAACTACATGTTGGAGTACTTAATGTACAGATATTGTGTCAAATACGGCAACAGGATTCATTAGCTAGGACTTTGGAATCTCGCGCCATCGATGTATGCTGCGTCTCCGAAACGTGCATACAGGATCCTAGTAAAATCAGTTATTCGATTTCACGTTGTCAAAATAAAGGAGCAGCTCGACTTAATCTTCATGTACCTGGAAGCTTTGAAAATGCTTCCCGCGGTCTCGCTGGTGTAGGTATAGCATTGAGTCCTAGGGCAGAACTAGATCTCTTAGACTGGATCCCAGTAAATAGTCACTTGTGCGCTGTTCGACTAAACGGGACAGTAAGGACTCGTAAGGATAGGGACACTCGCCGTTGCCTCTTCGTCGTATCTGCCTATGCCCCCACTGACTGCAGTTCAGACGAGGTAAAAATGAGTTTTACAGAAAGTTTTCGGACCTCCTCCAAAAAGTTAGACGCTCTGAGATAGTAATAATGGCTAGTGACTCTAACGCTCAAGTAGGTAGACTGAGTGAGCAGGAAAGACACCGGGGTGGATCTTATGGTGTTGTGGCTCAGAGAACAGATAATGGCGACCGTCTGTTGCAAGCACGCTCAAATAACCACCTACTTCTAACAAACTAACTTTAGGCATAAGGAAAAGCATCTGTTGACCTGGCGACTTCCAAAGTCGTCACAACGCTGGATGCAACTAGATCAAATCGCCGTCAGCCACCGATGGACGGGTTCGACAGAGGACTGTCGCCCGTTCTGGGGCACATGTTTAGATTCAGATCATGCCTTAGTATGAGTGCGTATTTGTTTGCGACTTACCGGACGTCGGGACGACACCGCAAGGAAACATCTTAGGGTTCTCCATAATGATAGCAGAGCTAGAAATATATTTCAGGAGCAACTAGAAAGACAGTTAGGCGACCATGTAAGTGATTCCAGCCGTTGGAAGCTTGGAATGATCCCAGCTGTTTCATCACTCTTGAAGCTGTCGTCGGATGACGGGTTTTTTCTCGATAATAACCTACTTCGTTCTTTCGTTCTATTCTCTCCATAATTATGAATTTTCGCTGATAGCTGTTATCAGTTTCAGCCGTGACGTTAGACAGTGATTAGAGAATCAATTTGAGGAGTAGCGAACCGTAGCTGAATACTATTTTATCTGATATTAAAGATGAAGTTCACTTTCAGTTTGAAAATTCCTCACTGAATGACTAAGTTATCGGGTCATCATAAGATTTTTTAACGTCACCGCTTTCAAAACAAAATGAAAGCTTTAAAATATTTTATCTTGTTTACCAACATAAAAGTTAAAAAACCACTGGACTTTGTTATTACTTTTTAACAAATGTTCATTTAGGTTCAGTACAAATGAAACTGCTACTTGGTCTTTTTGGATTAGCGTCGGATAAGATGATTCATGCTTATATGGAATGATTACACCCCTATACTATTCTGGGTCATGATTTTGTATATGCTGACCAGATTTATTTATTTACTATATCAGTGTTTTGTCGACATAACATTCTGCAGAAATACGTACTTTTGAGAAAAACCTTAAAAGAATTTTGGAAGTGATAAATTGTGTAGATGATTTATCTTTGGTTGAAGCTGAACAGTAACCAGTCTTCATTATCATATGACCTATGATGGGTGCATATGGGTTCAAGTTTTAACCTTTTATATCAGTAAATCAAGAGGGAAAATAACATCTCTCCTAC